TGGGGGGCTGCGATCTGCGAAACTGTCGCCATTTTCGAGGCCTGCTGGGGGCCCAGCACAGTGAGGGCCACGCGCAGATTCAAATTAGACCTCGCCATCCCTGGGGGGCTGCGATCTGCGAAACTGTCGCCAGTTTCGAGGCCTGCTGGGGGGCCCAGCACAGTGAGGGCCACGCGCGGATTCAAATTAGACCTCGCCATCCCTGGGGGGTTGCGATCTGTGAAACTGTCGCCACTTTCGAGGCCTGCTGGGGGGCCCTGCACAGTTACGCCACGGGCATATTCAAACGAGACCTCTCCATCCCTTGGGGGCTGCGATCTGTGAAACTGTCGCCACTTCGAGGCCTGCTGGGGGGCCCAGCGCAGTGACGCCACGGGCAGATTCAAATGAGACCTCGCCATCCCCTGGAGGCTGCGATCTGTGAAACTGTCGCCACTTTCGAGGCCTGCTGGGGGGGCCCTGCACAGTTACGCCACGCGCGGACCCAAATTAGACCTCGCCATCCCTGCGGGGCTGCGATCTGTGAAACTGTCGCCACTTTCGAGGCCTGCTGTGATCACCATTTTCGAAGTGGCTAGGAGTGCCCAAGAATTGTAACCCATCAATTTTATCAAGCCCTTTTCCTGTAGCCAGTGTCCTGCGAATCTCCCGAATTCCGGCTGCAGACATATGCAACCCTCGCTCCGTCATCGCCCCCTTATAACGTATCCTAAACTATTTGCGCCCCGCTTTTGCGCAGGGGTTGGGTACGTAGCCAGGGTAATTTTCCCAACCCTCCTTGGTTGGGTATTCGTTTTGAATAGAGCAGTGTGGTCGCGTCCCTCCTCCCTCCCTTCATCCCTCCCTGCCTCTTCCTGTCTTGCCTGCGGGGAGCCACGATCTGTGAAACTGTCGCCATTTTCGAGGCCCGCTGGGGGGCCCAGCACAGTGAGGGCCACGGGCAGATTCAAATGAGACCTCGCCATCCCTGGGGGGCTGCGATCTGTGAAACTGTCGCCATTTTCGAGACCTGCTGGGGGGCCCAGCACAGTGAGGGCCACGGGCAGAGTCAAATGAGACCTCGCCATCCCTGGGGGGCTGCGATCTGTGAAACTGTCGCCATTTTCGAGGCCTGCTGGGGGGCCCAGCACTGAGGGCCACGGGCAGATTCAAATGAGACCTCGCCATCCCTGGGGGGCTGCGATCTGTGAAACTGTCGCCAGTTTCGAAGCCTCCTGGGGGGCCCAGCACAGTGAGGGCCACGGGCAGAGTCAAATTAGACCTCGCCATCCCTGGGGGGCTGCGATCTGTGAAACTGTCGCCATTTTCGGGCCCGCTGGGGGGCCCAGCACAGTGAGGGCCACGGGCAGATTCAAATGAGACCTCGCCATCCATGGGGGGGGCTGCGATCTGTGAAACTGTCGCCATGTTCGAGGCCTGCTGGGGGGCCCAGCACAGTGAGGGCCACGGGCAGATTCAAATTAGACCTCGCCATCACTGGGGGGGCTGCGATCTGTGAAACTGTCGCCATTTTCGAGGCCTGCTTGGGGGCCCAGCACAGTGAGGGCCACGGGCAGATTCAAATTAGACCTCGACATCCCTGGGGGGGCTGCGATCTGTGAAACTGTAGCAATTTTCGAGGCCTGCTGGAGGGCCCAGCACAGTGAGGGTGACGCGCGGATTCAAATTAGACCTCGCCATCCCTGGTGGGCTGCGATCTGTGAAATGCCACGCATGTTCGATGCCTGCTGGGGGGGCCAGCACAGTGAGGGCCACGGGCAGATTCAAATGAGACCTCGTCATCCCTGGGGGGGCTGCGATCTGTGAAACTGTCGCCATTTTCAAGGCCTGCTGGGGGGCCCAGCACAGTGACGCCACGGGCAGATTCAAATTAGGCCTCGCCATCCCTGGGGGGAAGCGATCTGTGAAACTGTCGCCATTTTCGAGGCCTGCTGGAGGGCCCAGCACAGTGAGGGCCACGGGCAGATTCAAATGAGACCTCGCCATCCCTGGGGGGGTGCGATCTGTGAAACTGTCGCCACTTTCGAGGCCTGCTGGGGGGCCCAGCACAGTGACGCCACGGGCAGATTCAAACGAGACCTCGCCATCCCTGGGGGGCTGCGATCTGTGAAACTGTCGCCATTTTCGAGGCCTGCTGGGGGGCCCAGCACAGTGAGGGCCACGCGCGGATTCAAATTAGACCTCGCCATCTCTGGGGGGGTTGCGATCTGTGAAACTGTCGCCACTTTCGAGGCCTGCTGGGGGGCCCTGCACAGTTACGCCACGGGCATATTCAAACGAGACCTCTCCATCCCTTGGGGGCTGCGATCTGTGAAACTGTCGCCACTTTCGAGGCCTGCTGGGGGGCCCAGCGCAGTGACGCCACGGGCAGATTCAAATGAGACCTCGCCATCCCCTGGAGGCTGCGATCTGTGAAACTGTCGCCACTTTCGAGGCCTGCTGGGGGGCCCAGCACAGTGACGCCACGCGCGGACCCAAATTAGACCTCGCCATCCCTGCGGGGCTGCGATCTGTGAAACTGTCGCCACTTTCGAGGCCTGCTGTGATCACCATTTTCGAAGTGGCTAGGAGTGCCCAGGAATTGTAACTTATCAGTTTTATCAAGCCCTTTTCCTGTAGCCAATGTCCTGCGAGTCTCCCGAATTCCGGCTGCAGACATATGCAACCCTCGCTCCGTCATCGCCCCCTTATGACGTATCCTAAAATATTTGCGCCCCGCTTTTGCGCAGGGGTTGGGTACGTCGCCAGGGTAATGTTCAATATTTTCTGGGCTTCTGTCTTCCTCGGGGGGGGAGGGCCTGACCTTCCTCGCTTTTGACCACCCTCGCCTCCAAGAGATACCAAGCGATGCCAAACGACGGCCTGTAGTGGTCAGGCCGCCTGACGAGGAGGCGCGCGGTATGACTTGGTTTTGCCTGGAAGCGAAAGCGGGGTAGGTAATTCACGCTCTGAACATCGGGGGGGGGGACCCTGACCTTCCAGAGTGCTGAAACACAACACTCCAGACGCACGAGCGACGATGTAAAGCGGGTCTTGCGCGAGATGGCGCAGCGACCTTACGCGGTGGCTTACGCGGGCCGCCGGCGAGGCACGCCACATTGTAAGCGAAGGCGCGCGACCCAACGCGGGGTGCTTACTCGCCAATGCCGGCGAAGGCGACCCCGTTGATCTTACGTCGCCGATATGGAGTTATCTGGACTGCTTGGAGACTCGGCTGGACTTTGAACGTTGACGTCCTGGTGCATTACTGTTGGCCCGACTGGAAGGTCGGGGGGGGTGCAGGATCGACAGCGCAGGGCCTCTGGAGGCTGAGCACAGAGGCCTTCTAGAATTAGTGTCGAGCTCATCCGATCCCTGCTTCTAAGACTGGCAAATCTAAAAAAATGACAACACTTGGGATGCATCCTCAGAAGCTGAGGGACTCCAGAAGGTCGGAATCGATATAGGGTGATGCCAACCATAAGGATAGGGATATGCTTAATGCTACGAGTTCTAGCTCTCCGTGGGCCTTAGGAACGACAAGGCTGTTCTTGTTACCGGTTCTGGTCTGCAATGTCTGTTGTCGCTTATGGCGCCGTTGTCTTCCTGGTTTCTTCGCCGTTTTCTTCCTGCTGCTGGTTCTGGCTCCGATCCCAGAGCCGTTGTTTTGCTGTTTTTAGTCGTCTTTTTTGTTGGCGCCTCAAATTTCAAGACACACTTTTTTTCGGAAGCTGTGAAAGAACTGCCCTGCCGCTTCCGCGGCTAACAAAGTCCTAGATGGGGTCCGAGTGCAGCCATCGTTTCCTTCTGAGTCTAAAGCGGTCCTTGTTTCAGCGTCTTGATTGCAGATGGGGTCGGAAGATCGCGCCGCATCGCCGATGCATCGGGGACGTCGGCGGTGCATCGGCGACGCCAGCGCGGAGACAATCGGGCTCCACATCGAGCCGCATTGGCGATGTATCGGCGATGCGGCGCGATGCTCCGACCCCATCTACTCTGAGCCAACATGGGAGGTCTGGAGAGCAGCTTCCCGAACCAACACAAATATGAAGACGGAACTCGCAAGAGCGACTAAGGGCTACTCAGCCCGATTCGCGGGCCATCAAGCCAACCTTGGCGGCGCGCAAGAGGGGGTAGGGGGAGGGGGGAAGGTTTCTTAGAAACACCCTGCTTCTTAGAAGGCCTCGGCCTTACGTCTATAGAGAAGGCCCGCGCGTTCGAAGACGCAGGGGTGCTTCTAAGAAGCCTTCCCCCCTCCCCCTACCCCCTTTTGCGCGTTGCCGACAACTTTGAACAAATTCAATAGGATCAAACCGGTTCAGGCTAGACTGTACGGAACTGGGCCGGTTTCCGACCACGGAGGCACCAGCGCCGATGCTGAATCCAGCCTCCCAAGCGTTGTACCCTAAGGCATCGTGGCGCCGATGCCAAGAAGCAGCGCTCCCGTGGTCTTTCGGAGAGCCTGCGGATCCCTCGGGCCGCCGCCAGACTCCCCTCCCGGCACTCCGGCATCGCAAAGAAAGGGGGGGTTCAGCGCCGACGCACGACTCCGAGGATAAACAGGGACCACCGCCATCGAGAACCCATCGGGGGGCGGGGGACGACCCCTGCGCGGTGGCATGCCCGAGCGTCACCCAATACAGGACGATGCTCAAGCGTGCCACTGCCCAAGGACCCCCCCGCGAACGCGTTCCCGGTGGCGGTGGTCAGTGCCCCTCCTCTGATAGAAACCTGAGCGGACGGTTCCAAATACTTGTTTGCTGTCAGACATGTTGCTCGGCCCCTCCCTTCGAAACTCTCCTTTGCTGTTTCTGGCCCCCCCCCGGAGGCACGGAGCGATGCCGATGCCGCCGCTCCCGGCTCCCTGGGGCCTGCTGGAGCAGGACCCCGAGGCGAATCCAGCCAGACCCTCCTCCGCAGGCGGCCCACAAAAGGCGCAGCCGGGGGAGGGGCATCGGCATCGCCACCGCGGCGCCTCCTCCTCCTCCTCCTCCTCCTCCTCCTCCTCCTCCTCCTCCTCTTCCTCCTTCTCCTCCCCGGAACGAGGACGATCGCATGGCCGCTCCTGGCGACCCCGGCCCCCCGGGGCCCCCATGGCGCCAACCGGCCACGGCCACGCGCGGCGAGCGCGCTGCTGCGCAGCGCCCGCCGAGGGGTGGGGGGCGAGCTGAGCTCCGGGCCCCCCCCCTCCGCCGAAGGGGGGGGGGGGGATCCCGAGCTCGCGCGCGCCCCTCGTGCCCGCTCCTCCCGCGCCTCCTCCTGGCGCGAGAGTCCCCGCGTGGGGCTTCCTTCCTCGGCGGTCGCCGACCACGGGCCGCGGCACTCGCCCGGCAGCGGTCGCAGAGGACGAGCGAACAACTCACACCCATACCCATAGGAGGGTCGAAGGGAGGGGAACTGGCTATGGGTATGGGTGCGAGTTGTCGGACCCTGGGGGAAGCTCCCGTTCGAGCGGGGACCCCCGTCCGACAACACGCACCCATAGCCTCCTCCGCCCCCCCCCCTATGGGTATGGGCGCGTGTTGTTCGATCGTCAGCAGAGGACCCGAAGCGCGGCACAGGCAGTGGTGCCTCGGAGGTCCGCGCGGGCTCCGTGGGCCGGCGCTGGACTCCCCGTCCTGGCTGGCCGGCCAGCGGGGCGAGCCAGGCACGGGGCCCGGCGCCGACCCGAGAAGCCCCCGCGCGGTGCCCGCGAGAACTTGTGGCTGTGCCGCCCTCTGCTCTTCGACGGCAGCTGCCAGCCCGGCTCGCGCCCGCGAGGGCGACCGCGCCGACCCCCTGGCCATCGCTCGGACGTCCATTCCCCGTGTTTTTTTGTCGGTTTCGTGCGCGGCTTCTTCTCGCCCCATGATCGAGGATGCTCCTCGACGATGGTCCTCGCCGAAGGGAAAATGCACACGTCCGAGCGATGCCAAGCCCCCTATTCGGTGATCCTCCACGGGCGCGGGGGCTCTCAGCGCATGCCGCCATCGGCCCCGCCCCGCGCCTGGCGAGGCGGCGTGCTGCCTCTCACGGCTCGGCGGGGCGGCGCTCCGCCGCGCTGGGAGCCAGCCTGGCGGAGGCCCTGACCTCCTCCCTCGCCAAGAACACTTCCAGGGCTGCGCCCATATTGTGCTTACCAAATGTGCGAATTGTTTATCGACTCCGGCCTGTTGGGCCCGCTATCAGGCCCAATGACCATCAAACATGGATCTGGGCCGACTACCCCCAGCAGAGGGAAAGGCCCTCTGAAGGAACACGATCTACCGTCGCTTGACTGGACAAGAATCTCCCCCCCCCCCCCCTCGGGAAAGTTAATGGGGGGGGAGGAGGGGGGAAGGGGGAGGGGGGAAATCTCCCCTTCCCCCAGAACCAAGGGGGATGTGTTTTCCCCGCAGACCAATACAAAAAAAAGAGAACGGGGGGGGGGAGAAGGGGGTCGAACCGGGGGGGGCTGGTTCGAAACGACTCTCATCGAATTCTGCCATTAAGGGTGGATCCAACTCTCACATAATCTCACTAAGTCTCGATAGAACTCTGACAGATACCTACATGGGCTAAATCCAGCCTCGTAGAATCCGACGAAGGCTAGATCCAGCTGCATTCGGAAACTACAGATGCTAGATCCAGCTCTCATCGGACCACACCAGGGCTGGATCCAGCTCCTACAGAATCATACTTGGGCTCGATCCAACTTAAATAGGAAACCAGGGTCTGGATCCAGTTATGATAGGATCCCATGCGTGATCGATCCAGCTCTTGCAGGACCCCATTGCCCACATGGAACTCGCTTAGGGCTCGACCCAGCCGGAATACAACTCTATCAAAGCTCAGTCCAGCTTTCGTGGAATCCTACAAAAGCTGGATCCAATCCGCAGAAAGAACCCTCGTAGGGCTGGACCCAGCTAAGAAGGAATCACATATAATCCTGTGGTGGAATCCACCCTCCCCAGTTTGATCTGGAGGGGGCCTCTCTCGCCCGCATGTGGGGCCAATCCCAACCGACTGGCACCAACTCCACCTAACTGGGCCACTTGTCAACTGGCCAAACAACCAGCTGGCACCACTTACAGCCAGCCATCTTGAGCCGGCACGATGACTGATGTGCGAGGCTTTGCATAACGATTCAGGAACTAAACGGACGTCTTAAGAGTACACATTCCTTCTGGGAGATCTCATGAGTGCCACGGTTGGAATTCGCACTGGTTCACTTTCAAAGGCACGCGCTCCGCGCACGCTTTCCGCAAAGAAACACCTTGACACGCTGGAGCCAGGGGGCGCCCGCCCCTGGACACCGGCCTCCCTAACCAGGCACCCGTCCCCCTCAACGAAGAGGGGGGGAGGGGGGAACGGGGGGCGCGCGGCCCCCCCTGTTCAAGGTGGAGGGGCTCGAACGGGGAGGGGACCCTTCCCCCGTGAGTTGCAGAAGGGGGGCATTCGAACCGCCTCCCTCCCTCCCCCTTGGTCGACGGCGCCGGCGCGCTCGCCGTCGTCGGCTGCAGGGGGGGGGAGGGCCCCCTCGTCGTCACTGCCCCACGGCGCCAGCGCTGGCGCTGGCGCTCGCCGGCGTCGGTTGCAGAGGGGGGGGGAGTCACCCCCCAGTTCGAGAAGGGGGGGTCCTCCCTTCTAAATCGAGAAGGGGAGGTCCTCCCTTCGAAAACAAGAAGTTCGAGAAGGGGGGGAGTCACCCCCCCTGTCCCCCCTTCTAAGTCAAGAAGGGGGGGTCCTCCCCCGGGCTCGAGCCGCCCCTCTCTGGACAGAGGGGAGGGGGGCCCGTTCGACGCCCCCCCCCCCCCTACACCACCTTGGACATGGGCCCCCCCCCCCAGTTCGAACCCGCCGCCCCCCCCAATTCAAACCCGACCAGATGCGCGCTGACGACTCGAAGCCGTGCCAGAACTCCATGGGGATTTTAGACTAGCGAAACAGCCTAACTGCTACGTCATGGGAATCCCCAATCATGCCATAACGAAATGCCTGGGACTGCAGCGATATGGCCCTTTTTACCTCCTGCTGACTTTCGAGACGAGTGCGCGCGGCGCCAAAACGAGGCCCACGTGTTGAAAAAAGAACCGCTCTTAAGATGTGAAGCTGATGCACACTTGAACCAAGAATGTGCGCGGTACAACAGCGAGGACCACAATCTGAAAACCGACTGTCATCCATCCTTGAAGCTGCTGAAATGGTGTAAGCGAAATATGCACGATGCGAAGCGAGAACTGCGTTCTGAAGAAAGACCCGCGTTCCATCTGTAGAACTGCTGCAATCTTGTATTACGAATGTGCGCGACGATAAGGCGAGAACCACATTATGAAAAACACGCGCCATCCATCCGTGAACTTCTAAAAAGTTCAAGCTTCAGGATCAGAAAGGGTCAGGAAGTCTCAGGCGGAACGCCCGCCCCGCCCTACCAACACGTTCGGGGTTGCGGCAAGGAGGATTTTTTGTCGGTGCACAGGGTGTCCAAGGCTCCGACCTTTATACGTCGGACCGCGCTGCTCCCGCACCGCGTCCCCCCCCACCCAGCCCAGCCAGCTCAGCTCCTCCTCAGCCAGCAGCCAACCCTGCTCCTCCTCGCCCACCAGCCAGCGCGCCCTCTCTGCCCCGACCATGTTATTTCGGCACGCACGGCACCGGCACCGCGTGCACCCTCACCCACTGCACCTCCTCGCCCGCATCGCGCCCCCTCCGCCCCGATCATCTTATCTCGACACGCGCGGCACTGGCGCCGCGACCCCCTCCCCCCCCCACAGACACCGCCCCAGCATCTCCCCTCCCGCTAGTCAGCGCGTCCCCTCCGCTCCGACCACTTTTTCTTCCGGCACGCACGGCGCCGGCACCGCGCACCCCTTCTTTCCCCTCGCAGCAACCGCACGCGCCCCCTCCGCCCCGCCCCTCTGGGGGCCGGCCAACAACACAACAACAATGCAGTCATGCACCCGGGGGTGCTCGATGCTATGCTCTCGCCGTTCCAGCCGCAAGGTCGTCCAAGACGGCCCAGCAAGCTCCCAATGCCGGCCCAAGACAGCCCCCGAGTCGGATCCACGAGTGATCCCACACGCGCTCCACCGCCGCGCACTTGGCAGTCAACCCCACCAACATGATCCCCAGACCTCCGGGAGGCCGCCGAGCAGGCTCCAAAAAGGCACCCGGGGCTCCCTCCCCGAGAGGCCCCGGAGAGGCCTTCGAGGCCTCTGGGGAGCGCGACCCCGGCGCGCAGGCGGCTTGGGCCCAAAGCTGACAGCTTCGCTCTCTCAGGGCAGCTTCTGCCCCGCGCCCCAGAGGCCCCCTTCTGCCTCTGGCGCCTCCTCCTCCTCCTCCTCCTCCTCCTCCTCCTCCTCCTCCATTGCTTCTCCTTGTAAATAACTCCTCCCTGTCGCACCCCGAGGCCAGTTTTTAGGGCCGGCCGGGAGTGTCGCCTGAGACTTCTGACCCTGAAGCTCAACAATTGGCAACAGTTTCACAGATGGAGGGCGGGTCGTTTTCAAAATGTGGCGATCGCCTTAGCGCCGCGCACATTCGTTTTGAACATTTGCCAGAGCTTCACGGATTGAGGGCGGGTGGCTTTCAAAATACGGCTCTCGCCTCAGCGCCGCGCACATACTTTTTGAACAATTGCAAAAGAGTTTCACGGATTGAGGGCGGGTGGTTTTAACAATGTGGCTATCGCCTTAGCGCCGTGCACATTCGTTCTAAAAAATGCAAGAGCTTCATGGATTGAGGGCGGGTCGTTGTCGAAATGTGGCTCTCGCCTTAGCGCCGCGCACACTCGTTTTAAAACAATGCAAGAACTTCACGGATTGAGGGCGGTCCCTTTTCAAAATGTAGTTATCGCCTTTGAGCCGCGCGCACTCGTTTTCAAAAGCTGCAAGAGTTTCACTCGGATTCCCATGATCGACGTACCAAAAATAGCGCTTTGGAAGGATTCACGATGATGAGGGCGCAACAGTTACGATGATTCGCGGTGTTGAAGTCCCAGGGATATTGTTCTGGCATGCTTCAGGGTCTTCAAACGGTTGTCTTCCAACGAGGCAGTTCCCTCTGTGATAATGAGCCTCTGTAGGGGCCTACGAAGAGGGAGCTTGGGGGGAGGGCTTATTCCAACATCAATGGTGACTATTGGGCTGGCACTGCTCCTCCTCCTCCACCTCGAAGCGTCGCAATCTCTGGGCCCCAATCCCCCCTTCCGCCTCTTGCGCGTCCTGCTCTCCGTCCAGGGTGGTCGGCACCAGCCCAAAGGCCTCTGCAGCGCAGTGGGTCTCGTGATGCACGTCCTAAGTAGTGTAGGAGGTGCGCAGTGTGGGGACTGCGTCGACCAACCTCGGGTCGACAGTGGGCACATACTGGATATTTGCACAGTAGGTGCCCGTCTACTGCGCAAATATCCAGTAGGGGCCCATCGCCACTGAAAAGGGCGGTCCGACGGTCCGAAGCTCTGGAAGAGGGGTTGGATGAGCAAGAGGTGTTATTGATGACCCCCAGCCGGAGGGATGGTGGCAGCGAGCTGCATGGCCTCCTTGCAGCAGAACGCGAGGCCGACTCCATGTCGGGCACGTGCAGGGAGGCATTGGAGGTCTCGGTAGTTCCATCCGCCTGTCGGTTCGGGGGATCGCTGATGGCTTGCTCCTCCTGGCCGTGCGTGCCGGGCAGGACCCGTGGGCTGGCGAGAGCGTGCCGTCTGCGCGCATTCGTGCCCCCGCTTACATGCAGAACCACCTGGCAGCCACGACTGACAATCTCACCCCTAGCCCTGGCTGTCAGGGGCCCCGCACGGCGACACCTGCCTGGCCGATTGGGTGCCAGGGGTGTTTTCCTGTTCTGCGTTCGTTTGCGGAGCGGGGACAGCCGACCCCCACCGAAAAGGCACGGGGATTGGGCATGGCATGGGGAGCTCCGCCTCCCACCCGCACTGCTGCTGCCCTTGCGCACCCTGTGGCGGGACGATGCTGGGGCTGTGGAAATTTCTTGTCCGCGCCCCTCCGCTAAGGAGGAGGAGGAGGAGGAGGAGGAGGAGGAGGAGGAGGAAGGGGGGATAAGGAGGAAGTGGCGGAGGAGGAGGAGGAGGAGGATACCACAGCGGCTGGACCGCTCTGAGCTCGGCCAAGAAAAAGGAGGATACCAGCCCTCTTCGTCATCCGGCTCCCTTGGCGTCTCTCCACGGCCTTCCTGTATGACTCTTCGGCCCCCGTTGGCGTGCACACGTGCAAGACTGGCACCTCTCTTCGAGCCCGGCGGAGACCCCATGAGCTTCGCCCTGCCTGGATGCAGAAGCAGCCTCGCCCCCATCGTGGAGCTGTCGCCACTTTTCTGGGCCCCATGTGGGATTCCAGCGGAGCGACAACATACGCGCACCCACGCGACATCGCGCACCCTCTTTGAGCTCCCCAGCGCATTCGGCGTAGACCTGCCGTCACTTCCTACCGCACTGGGGGGGTTCAACGGGGTACTCTCACACGTGGACCCAGACGAGACCTCGCTGCTTCTGGTACAGTGCGGGCGTGGCCACAAGAAACCCTCGCAAGAAACCCAACCCTGAAAACCCGCGCGCGAGGTGCACCAGAGGGGAAACCAGGAGCATCAGGAACGCAGCAGCTCGGTCAACGGCCGCGGGAAGTCTACGCGCGACGCGCGGAGTCAAGAAACCCAGGATGCCCTGACGAAGAGCATATAGTTTCTTGTTGCGCGCCCCCACTGTACACCAAGACCCAAGACGCAGAGCCGTCGCCAGCTTTCTGAGCCCCCAGGGAGTCCAGCGGAGCGCTGCCACACGGGAGCGAGCCCTCCCCTGGGCTTTTCCCGGCGAGGCTCCTGCGCCTTCCTGCGCGCCTGGAGCTGAGCTTAGCGTCGCCAGGCGTGATCCGCCCCTTCCGGCTAGCCCCAAGCTTAAAGCCGTCGCAACTGACCAATGGGGAAGTGCAGTGGCATACCGCCAGCCGGGGACCCGGGAAATGACCCCGCCTCCCGCACGCTCCCGATAGCTGACCTGTCGCCATGTGCCAGAACCCCCAAGTGGGGCCCATCGGAGCGACATTATTGGAGGCCTGGAAATTGGCACCAACACCAGCACAGGGGTTTGCCTCCACATGGGAAAGATGATCCCAGATTTCGGTGGTGGTGGCGGCAATATTTCGGCCACCTTGGAAGCCAGAATATTACCACCATCACCGAGATCGGGATCGGCTTCCCTCGGTCGGGGCACACCGCCGAAATTGGTTTTGGTGTCAACCTCTAGGCCTGCGACACTACACGAGGGCCGAGCTGCACGCGCCCCGTGCGGGGTGCGCCCCAGCGTTGCCGCCACCACGTTCTGCCACTGCGGCACGCTTGGAGGCGCGCCGTGGCAGGCGGGCCCCATGGTGACATCGACTCTTCCTCCATCAGGGAACCGATGGATTCCGCTTGTGTTCGGGTTTCGGCTGCTTGCTCTGTATGTATGGGGCCAAGGGGGCCAGGCGGAAAGCGACGACGACGACGACGACGACGAGGGCGAGGGGGGAGAAGACGACGACGAGGGAGTGGAGGGCCAGCACACCCGCCCGTCCCATCGGCACAAGACTGCCGTCACCGCTCCCCCCCGCCCTCGTGGAGCCCGGCGGGGAGCTGGCAGGCGCACTGCGCGAGCGCAGGCAGAGAGCTCGGGCCTCCCTGGCCGCTCCTGGAGCCCGAGCCTTCCTGGCTGCTCCCGCGTCCAGCCGCCGCCGCTGCCTCGGCCCCTGGCAGCACGAGGAGAGAGCCGTCGACTCGCTGGTTGCATCGGCCAGGCAGCGCTCTCGAGGTCACCCTCGGGGCCGCTCTACGCAAACCGGCACTTCTGCGTCCGCAGGCCCTGGGGGAGCCAACTGAACAGTTTCATGCGCAGGATCAAGAGCCACACAGCAGTCGCTAACACATTCTGCGCCGAAGGGAGCCCATCACACGCGGACCTCACAAGATCTTGCCCTGCCAGGGTAATTCCAGCTGCCGCGTCTTCCTGCGCTCCTGGGGGCACGCCCCAGAACCGTCGCCGATTCCTCGGCACCTGGGTGGGCTCAGCACGTCCCCTGCACTGCGGTCGGGAACTTTTGCTCAGCGAGACGCCGCGGCGGTCATGGCAACATGCGATGCCCTGCAAGCGGTCAGCGTGTGGCCCCGCTCCGCGGGGCGGGAGGCTCGGAAAGGCTCGGGATGTGGACGCCTGGGGACTGGGAAATGAAGAGCGTGTCGCTCCGAAGCGTGGTGGGCCAGAACCAGCGGAGCGACACGCTAGGTCATCGCTCCTGACCGTAGAACCGTCGCCACCTCCCCGGCCCCTGAGTGGGTTCAGCACATCCCCTGAACGATTCTCCTGCATGGCGGCGCGGCGTTCCCAATGAGCATGGGGGCCTCCAGCAACGCGGCGAAGCGACCGGGGCGACCACCCAGCGCGCCAGAGAGGCCCGCTGCGACGTAAGGGATGTTGCCGCTGCTGCTTGCCCTCAATGAGGCCGGCGGCGAAGCTGGAAGCAAAACCCATGGGCTCTCCATGAACCGCTCCTTTGAACAGGGACCGACCGTCTCGGCATTCCTACAGGCCTACCACGACATACGACATGTTCCCACAGAAAGTAGTGTTTTCACGACATGGAGCCAGTGCAATTATGAAGTCAAGACGGCCCCAGCCAGAAATGTTCTATGATAACTCCGTGTAATCCTCAACATGTTTTCAGACCATTCTTTGGTAGGCCTATAGGCAAGCCGGGACGCTTCGCCACTGCTTGACTCCTCTGCCTCCGACATCGGGACGAGGCAGATGGGGCACGTGGCCTCGCCGTCGTCGCTGGGCACCCGCGAGCGGTCGGCAGTGCTGCTCGACGAGCTGTCGCCACTGCCCCCGTAGTCCCACGGGCTGTCCATCTTCTTCTCCTCCTCGCCCCCGTGGGCCCATCGCTTCCACTCCTCCTGGGCCTGCACCTCCAGGCCGCCCTGGCACGGCATGGCGGGCAGCATCGCGCCGACGAGCCCCTGGCAGGACGGCGCCGGCAGGGCCGCGAAGGCGGCCTCGGAGGCGTGCAGCGCCGCAGGCTGCAGCATCGGCTCAGCGCCGCCCGGGGGCCCGAACTCCCCAAACACGAAGGCCTCGCGCGGGGGCGCATCTCCCCGATCGGCGTCGTGCAGCTGCGGTGCCAGCGGCGCGGCAGCCGCGCCGGCGGGCGGCGTCGTGCTGAGGATCAGGGGGCCCGCCGGCGGCTCGACCGCGAGCACCATGTGCACCGACTCCCGCCTGTGGAGCACGCAGACGTCGCACAGCCGCGGGTCCTGCAGGAGGTCCTGGACCCTCTTGAGACGAAGCCAGGACGAGGATGCATTCGGGGAGGATCAACCGAGAATCTCTGAGACCCGGCGGCTCTGCAGGATGTGTCGGGCGCCGCGGCCTTCTCAGAGCGGTCCGGATCGCTCTGAGAGGAGGAGGAGGGGGAGGAGGAGGGGGAGGAGGAGGAGGAGGAGGCGGAGGAGGAGGAGGAGGAGGCGGAGGAGGAGGAGGAGGAGGTGGATGAGGAGGAGGAGGAGGAGGAGGAGGAGGAGGAGGGAGGAACGCTCTGGAGCGGATTTGTCCTCGTCCTGGCCCCGTCCGACCTCTGGTGCCCCAGCGCCGTCTCGCTCAGCTGCACGCCAAACTCCGACCGGAACAGCCGCTTCACGTTGGGCAACTTGATCTCGCCGCCCGCGCGGCTCAGCAGCTCTCGGAGGCAGACCCGCACCTCGGGGTTGGACAACCCTCTTTGGCAAAACCCTTTTTTTTGTTCAGTAAGCCTGCTCCCCTGGGCACAAGAGCGATAGGCTCGACGGCTCAGACAGACGATTATGCCTGTAATGAGCATGCGATGCGACATCCAGTCGCGCTGCACATCGGGCTTACTGTTTTCCAGCACTGCTACGAGGAATCTAGGGTAAATACTTCCTCTGAGCAGTCAGACCCTTGACTATTCAAGTCCACGGGGAACAAAAAGCTAGTCTGGGAAGGCTAGCATAACATGATGTGAATGTGCGCCCAGCTAAGTGTGATGGCGTGGACCAATCCACAAAAAACTGGGCGGCTTGCGGAGTATCGAACTCCAACCGGATCCCCTCATTCACACCTAAAATGCAAATGAGGAGCTGCACGCAATGTGCAAAACTGTGATGATCCGAAACCGGTAAATAGCCATCAACCCGTACTTTGAGTCGCTCAAACGATACAGGGGGCGGCGCGCGACCAGAGCACAGGAGGAGGAGGAGCAGCAGGAGGAGGAGCAGGAGGAGGAGGATGAGGAGGTCGCGATCGCCAGTGGCGTTGGAATGGGCCGGCGCGCGACCAAAGAAGGCGGGCAACGATCTTCTCGGCAAGACCACATCATTTGACCGAACGGCCGCGCAAAACGATACGGCAGCGTGCGAGTCCGCACGTGCCGAAGGTTTTCTGGCGGAAGGGAGAAAGGCCGTGCGAGGCGCAGACAAAACTGGCGGCTAGAGGCAACGACCCTTCTGGAGATGCCGACAGAACGAGCCCGCTGGCCGAGTGCGACGGTACTCGGCGCTGCAAAAAGACGCGCCCCCGTTTTCGGAGACTAAGGCTGTGCACTTGATGTGTGGCCGATGTAAAAAGCGAGTGCAGGTGTAAAGCCCGTGTAAAGCGAGCGCAGGCGTTGCCCTGGACGCGGCTGAACGCCAGGACAGCTCGGCACGATTGTAGAGACCAACTCTTGGACCTTGGAGTAGCAGGCCCAAGGCTGCCATGATGTGCCGCTGGAGCTAGAGACGGTCCGAGTGCGCACAAGAAACGAACTCATGGCTCGCCCTGGACGCGGCCAAACGCTGGCGAAGCAGCTCGGCACTCACCCCAGTCGCGGCTCCCAGCGGCTCCCTGCCGGGTGGTACGACCGGCCACGCGACCTCAGAGCAGCCCCGAGCGCTGCTGAGGGCGACCCTGGCGGCGGGGCAGGCGGCGCCACGGGCCCACGCGCCCCGCGGCGCAACTCCCTGGAGACGGCGCCCGCCCAGCTCCTGGTCCTGGGGCTGCCAGCGGCGCCTTCGCCCTCGGCGCCTTTTGTTGCCGGCGCCGCGACCGCCGCTGGTCCGAGGCCGTCGCGCTCGTCGAGGCAAGGGCGCCGCTGCCTCGCGCCTGCCTCCCAGGGCGAGCACGGCGGTCGGCGGGAGGCAGCCGCCTTCTGCTTCCAGAATGCCTCGGACCGGAGTCGCCTCAGCGGGGCCACCGTCGGCGCTGGCATCGCAGACCCCATCTGGCGCCGCCCGCCCCCGAAGGACACCGCCTCGAGCAGCGCCGTCTCGAGGAGCGCTGGCTCATCGCCGTCCACCGGCAGCGCGATGGCGCCCCGGCCCTCCTCGTGCGCGTCGGCGTCCTGGTCGTCGCTGAAGGCGAGCAGCTCTGATGTTGGGCATCGCGTGGGGGCCGAGCTGAGCCAATTCGTCTCGGGACGCACCGCCTTACACTTCCACTGCTCGGCATCCGCTTCAACTTCCTGGAACATCGCGCGCGGGCTGAGCATGGCGGGTGGGATACTGGCTGGTCGGCAATCACACACACACACTGCTAAATTCGAGATCCCCACTGCCCAAAGGTGGTCAGAGCCAGAACGGCTTGAGCCAAAAAAATGGCTACGGATCTTTGGCAAAACCCTCTTGGAGCTACTTGGGGCACTCCACGTACGCAAGGCACCGCGTTCCGAGTGCACATCAGCGGGGTAGCAAATCGACGTCCAAAGACAACCGAATGCATCAAAGCGAAACGCACACTTGGACGCCTGAATTATCCGGGATAACTGCAGTCTTGGGTAACTCCAGTTTGGGCCTCCGAGGCAAGAACCCGTAAGTACCCCTGACGGCTCCCAACCTTGAAGATTCAGGAGGGATGGACGCCCGAATTATCCAGGGTAACTGCGGTCTGGGGTAACTCAAGTTTGGGCCCCCGAGGCGAGAATCTGCAGCTACCCCTGACCACCCCAAGCCCTGATGATTCGGAGCTCGGACGCACGTCGATGAGCGAAACGGACTGGGGACTGCACCGGCACACTCGAATAGCAGTGTCGAGCGAACTGGTGCTCCGTCGACGTGTCTGGGGGGGTGCTCTGTCAATACCTGAGCATTCGAGGCGGCTGGGGGGTCTAAACTAGATGGGACCCTTCCGAATCGGTCAAGAGAGGGGAATGGGGCCACATCCGCAGAAAACTGTCCCCAAATACCTACTGGGGTACATCTGGCAATTTGTCACATCGGATCCGTTTTTCACTGTCCCGGGTGGGCCCGAAAATTCGCCGGCCCAACGGGCCCGAGGCGTGCTAAGATCTCCGGTAACTACTTAACAATATTTCTAGTTCGCGCGCGCGGGGCGGCCCCTGGGGAGCCCCGGACGAAAAGTACCCCGGCCGATCCCCGGCTGGTCCCCGGGCGATCCCCGAGGCTATTTTTCGCAACCCCTCACGAGGATCGTGGCCTCCGAAGGGGGGGGGCTGCAATCGACTAACCCCCCTCCCGCCCCAAGGGGTCCCCAAGAGCCCCCCAAGAGGCCCCAGGGGGGCCCAATACGCCGCCAAGGAGCCTCAAGACGTTCCCAAGAAGCCCCCAAGAAGCCCCCAAGACGGCCCCCAAAGGCCCCAAATAGCGCTCCAGGGACGGCGGAATGAGCGAAGCGATTAAATAATCCCCAGAGGCAGATCCGCCGATCCGGCGTGTGAGTTTCTGAGAGCGTGGGCTTGAGCTCGCTCAAGCTTCGCTCTGCGGGGGGGGGGACCTCATTTCCGACCTAATTCAGTGCTTCGGGAGTGGGGGGGGACCTCATTTCCGACCTAATTCAGTGCTTCGCACCCCCTCCCCCTCCAGAGCGAGCCCTCCCCCCCTGCAGAGCGCCGCCCGCCCCTCCCCTGCACCCCCTCCCCTGCAGAGCAGACCCCCCCCTGCAGAGCGGACCTCCTCCCTGCACCCCCCACCCCCCCCTGCAGAGCGGACCTCCCCCTGCCCCCACCCCCCCCCTGCAGCCCCCCCCCCCCCCCTCTCATGCAGAGCGGACCCCCCCCGTGCAGCCCCGCCCCCCCCTCCAGAGGCGGACCCCCCCCCTCCCCTGCACCCCCCCCCGCAGAGCAGACCCCCCCTCCTGCAGCCCCCCCCTGCAGAGCGGACCCCCCCCTCCCCTGCAGCCCCTCCCTCTGCCGAGCGGACCCCCCCTGCAGAGCAGACCCCCCCCCTGCAACCCAGCTCCCCCCCGTCGTCGTCGTCGTCGTCGTCGTCGTCGTCGCGTCGTCGTCGTCGTCGTCGTCGTCGTCGTCGTCGTCGTCGTCGCGTCATCGTCGTCGTCGTCGCTCGCGTCGTCGTCGTCGTCGTCGTCGTCGTCGTCGTCGTCGTCGTCGTCGTCGTCGTCGTCGTCGCTCGCGTCATCGTCGTCGTCGTCGTCGACGTATTCGTTTTCGTCGTCGTTTTCGTCTTCCTCGTCGTCGTTCATTTCCACAGGCACCCGGAGCGCCCGGGATCGGCGGCACTGGCAGGAGGCCACTACAATAATCCCCAGAGGCAGAAAAATGCAACACAAAATTCTCGAACCCAATTCGGCGGACCTCTTCCTCTCCCTTCCTGCCTGCCAGAACCAGAGCCGGGCCACCCCAGGCCCCCCGGCCCAGCTGGCTCCCATTGTCGATGGCGAGCGAGGGGGGGAAGTGAAAAGGAGGAGGCCTTCGCAGAAGGCGTCGGGGCTTGTCAGCACCTGTGCCTTCGGAGAGGAACACCAGAAAACGTTCCAGAAGGCTGGAGGGCTTCCGAGCCTTCTGGGAAGGCCCGCCCCCCCTCTCTCTGACCCCCCCAGGGCGCTCCGCCGATACACGTCGCTCGCGCTCACACAGGGCCCCCGCGCAGCCTCTTCGTTGTGGGCCGCCGGCTTCCCGCACCCCGGCGCCGCCCAGGACGGTACAAAGGAGGGGGCCCCCAGCGGCCGTGCACAGCCGCCGGGCCGGCCACCGAAAGGGAGGGCTCTATGGCACCTCTGGGGGGCCCCGCCTGGCCCATCGCGCCAACCGTCCGCGTCGCACCCGTGTCGGACGCGTCGAGGCCGTGCCGACGCCGTGTGGGGTCCGCGACGAACGCACGTCGAATCCGCGTCGACCCCCTGTCGGAGCACAACCAAAACGCACGGCCACCCAACAGGACAGGGGAGGCCCCCGCCGAAGATGCAGCGTAGGGAGGGGCGCTCCGTCCACGCTCGGAGGCTCCTGGAGGGCACCCAGGAAGACCCCAGAGGCCCTCCGGAGGCTCCCAGGAGATCCCCCAAGAGGCTCCGCAGACCCCAGAGCCCCCCCCCCCCCCCTCGTCCACCTGTTCCACCTCCCCGTCCTCCTCGTATACAAGGGGTGGGCGGCACTGGCCGAGAGGCCTTGACGATGACGTCACCGACGACGCCGACGCAGCTGAAGCCGTCGACGCCGACGACCCCCCTCCTGCGCTCGTGGCGTCCGTGGTTACGTGTCTGCCCTGAGGTTGGATGAGGATGATGATGATGATAAGAAGGATGACGATGCTGCCTTTCGTTAACGGGCGAAGGACCGTATACAATAAACTTTTTCGCTGTCGGGGGCGCCTGTCCCTGGGCGGCTGGAAAGTTTATACCCCTACGGTGCCACCGCAAGGGTATAAACTTTCCAGCCGCCCAGGAGCAGGTGTCCCCGACGGCGAAAAAGTTTATTGTATACCGTTCTTCGCTCGCCGATTTCGGGCGGGTGCTTCGGAGTTGACTCTTCACCGTATTGTCCGCGCCCCGGATCTGCCCGCGACGGTCCAAAAAGCGAGGACCCACCGCGGCCGAGGACGACCTCCTGGGCTGGCCGCCGCCGACGCGGAGGGGCGCTCCGCCCACGCCCGAGCACGAGGGGTCCCGGGGACACACAAATACATAGACGCAGACCTGCTCCTCCTCCTTCTCCTCCTCCTCCTCCTCCTTCTCATCCTCCTCCTCCTCCTCATCCTCCGCTTCCACCCCCCACTCCTAGCCCTAATACTAAATAGTAATAGTAATAATAATAATGGTAATAATAAGAATAATAATAATAAGGATGACGATGCTGCCTTTCGGGCGGGTGCTTCGGAGTTGACTCTTCTCCATATTTTCCGCGCCCCGGATTTGCCCACGGCGGTCCGAAAGCGAGGACCCACCGCGGCCGAGGACGGCCTCCTGGGCTGGCCGCCGACGCGGAGGGGCGCTCCGCCCACGCCCGAGCACGAGGGGTCCCGAGGGGTCCCCGGGGACACACGAATGCACAGACGCAGACCTGCTCCTCCTCCTCCTCCTCCTCCTCCTCCTCCTCCTCCTCCTCCTCCTCCTCCTCCTCCTCATCCTCCGCTTCCTCCCCCCACTCCTAGCCCTTTCGATCAGGGCCGGCGGCGCCGGCCGTCAGGCCTCTCCAATACATAGACGCCGATCCGAGAATTATCCATGCGGCAGGAACTCGACCACAGGAGACCGTCCACAAGAACCCCGACCCTGAGATCCCAGGACGTGCATGGACGTTCGATGTTGGAAAGTCGCGCTGCCCATCGCAGAATCATGGAACGCGAGAAACCCAGGCACCCTGGAGGCAAGCAAGGCGTCTCTTGGCATGGGTTGTTTCTCTGTATCTTCCGTATCTTCTGGATGTTCGTCTTTCCCTCCGCACTGTCCTTCTGTTCCATCTTTTCCTGGGAATTGACGATCCTTTGTGTCTGTGTGCTCTTCCCCGCCTGAGATCCGCGGCGAGCCCGGGGCGGGGGGGAAGTGCGAAGGGGCGGGCCTTCTCAGAAGGCTCGGAAGTCCCCCAGCCTTTTGAGACGTGTTCGAAACCCCAGCCTCGGAAGACTCCTCGGAAGGCCAGGGGCTTCTGCGAAGCCCCGCCGCTTTCTGCTTCTCACTGCCCCCGCTCGCTCGCCGCCGAAGGACAGCCTCCGGGCTGGCCGCCGAAGTGGAGGGGCGCTCCTCGCCATCGCTCGGACGTCCACTCCCCGTGCATCTGTCGGCCTCGCGCAAGCATTCTATCGCAACATGACCCCGAAGGGCTCCTCGATGGTCCTCGCAGAAATAAACCGCACACCTCCGAACGATGCCAAGGCTCGGTCCACGCCTTTGGTTGGCCCAAAAGGGGGTCGAGCTGAAAGGGGTGGTACCATAGGTTTCGGGCATTTGTATTGCTAATGCTTTGCGCCAGAGAATTGTATTGCACTGCATTGCAACTAGTGCATTGCACGCGAAAGCCCAGCAATCCATTGGCGCCGCGGAATGCGTGGCACGCCCCAGCCAGATGTACTGCAGCCCCACAAATCCATTGCACCAGTTCCATTGCACCACCCCATTGTCGCTGGACCCCCTCTTGGGTCAACCCGAACGCCCGAGCACCGTCTCCCAAGTGGCCACCCCCTGCGGCGCGTCTGGCAGGCTCGGCACGGGCAGGGCGCTGGCGGCGCAGCGCTCCCGGACGCTGGCGTCCGACTCCCGGTAGGGGACGACGCGGCCGCCCTTGTAGCCGAGGATGCTCCTGGCTGGGGCGCACAAGGGACATAACGGTGAGGGCACGGGACGAGGAACCAGTGGATGAGGAACGCAGGGTCTGGAAGACGGCGGAACTCCAATCGCGGATTGGCCGCGGATGCCGCCATCGCCGTCATCAGACAAGGAATCCTCGCCGACCTGAAGCCTCCTGGGCACATTCCCCAACGAGCGCCTCCACCGTAGTACTACGTGCCCTCCTCGGAGGCGCGTGTCCAACCCGATCATACAGTACAGCCGACTTGTAGCACATCGTTTCCCGGCGGTTGGGAGCGCCTAGGAGCGCCTGTGAGCGCCTGGGAGCGCCAGGGAGCGCCTGCGAGCGCCTGGGAGTGCCTGGGAGCGCCTGGGAGCGCCTGGGAGCGCCGAGGAGCGCCTGGGAGCGCCTGGGAGCGCCTGCAGCTTATACAGTGAGATTTCTCGGCGCGCGCGTCGCCACTTCGGAGGCGACGCACACGCCGGCTGTCAGCCACAAGGCACAGCCCAGAATCAGTCAGCATCGCAACGGGAAGTCGGACTGAATCGACATGTGCGTCGAATCGGGCTGCATCGGCACGGGATCGACATCGCACTGGCTCCGGCCGCGCCAGGATGCACAGCAGCGCCATGCAACAGCAGCGGGCCGCACTGGACCCGTGGGAGGTCAGACCGCCGAGGGTGTTCTTGGCTGGGGCGCAGGAGGACATGTTTTTGGACACCCGAAATGGGTACCGAAAGAATGGGTACAATGCCCAACAACAAATGTTGTCCCAAGCCAACAACGGCCGCTGTTGGGCGGGCGGCCTCCTGTCTCGAATGGACACAGGCCGCGGCGGCGCGGACAGCGAGCCCTGTTCAGAATGAACAGGAACCGCTGTTGGGCATAGTGCCCATTCTTTCCGTGCCCATCTCGGGCGTCCAGAATGTTAGTACGACGCGTGCTCCTCGCAGGCGTGTCTCCGGCCCGATCCCACAATACCGCCATCTGTGGCACAACCCCGCGCAGAAGACGCACGCTGGTGGTGTCCGGCGAGCCCCCTGGGCCCCGCCGCGCGACCGGGGCGAGGGTTCGAAAAAACACACAGAGCGGCACCGCATTGAGCGCTGCAGTTGGGGCGGGTGGGTCTCCTCCTCCTCCTCCTCCTCCTCCTCCTCCTCCTCCTCCTCCTCCTCCTCCCCCTCCTCCCCCTCCTCCTCCTCCTCCTCCTCGTCGTCCTCCTCCTCCTCAAAGGAACGCGGTCTTTGCGCACTGCGGCGGGGGGGGCGTAGAAAAACACAGCTTGCTGCTTGCACGGGGGGTGTTCAGTCGACCCCCTCTCCAGAGGATGCGCGATCAGGGCGCAGGGGCTGCGGACGCCCTCTGCGGAGCTTCTCGAGCGCGGCGCGGCGAACGAGGCTGGCCACGGATGGACCGAGGAGGCAAGAATGCAAGGGTACCCTTGGGAATGTTGCCCGCCCTGGTTATCTGGGTTGACTGTCGTAACCCCATGCCCCTGATATTAAACCCCTGGGGATAATGCTGGGGGGATCATAAACGATTCTCCCGGCGGAGGATGATGGTGACGAAGGTGGTGATGCTGCTGCTGATGATGATTATGATGATGATGTTTTATTATTTATTTCCTCTCCCACGCTCCGAATCTGGCGTGTGTTTGAGCGTAGTGAGCAGTTCGTAGGCGTCGGTCTGGCTTTCGGGGCTCTGGCAGGCGGCATGGCCCGCAGCTTTCTGACACATGGCTTTCCATGACAGCGGAGGGAGCCCGAAGCACTTACAGAGATGGCTGCTCAGAATACTCTCACGCCCAGCAAAGTATCTGGAGAGCGCTTCAAAGGAACCCATGACATTGGCAGCCGTGCACGGTTTTCGCAAAAGCACGTTGATGACCTTATCTTCCTTACTCAGGCCAGCGGGTAGCAGACCCTGAAGATACTCGAAAGACGCCGCAGAGGTACGCTCGGGGGCAACCTCGGCAGAGCTAGACGCGGCGAGGCTTGAAAAAACAGGGGCATCAGATGACATACGACTGTGCGTGCCTCCAGGGGTCTCGGACATCGCATCGTCGTCATCGCAGCCCTCTCCACGCGCCTTCTTGCGGGGCGGCGACCCGGAGGGAGGAGCACCACCGCCACAAACCGGATCGCGCACGAGGTCGACGATCAGGATGGACGGACTCCGGAAGAGGAACATCTTCTCCACGACGGTCGGCACCGTCACGAAGGTCAGCAGCAGCACCTTGGAGGCCCATTCCACGACGGTCGCCCCCACGACGATCGGCGCCAGCACGACGGTCTTCACCGCGAAGGTCGGCTTCAGCGCCTCCACGAAGATCGTCTCCAAGACGGCCGGCACTGGCATCTCCACAACGGTCGGCACCAGCACGAAGGTCGTCTCCATGACGGTCGCCGCGCCGCCACTGCGGCCGTCACCACGAAGGCCGCTTCCACGAATGTCATCACCACGGAGGTCATTTGCGCGAAGGTCGTCTTCGCGAAAATCGTCTTTACGAAGGTCGACTCCACGACGTTCGACGCCCCGAAAGTCGGCACCACGTAGGTCAACTCCACAAAGTTCGTCTCCACGACGGTCGTCACCACGAGGGTCGGCACCAGCGCCACCATGACGGTCGCCTCCGCGAGGAACGCCTCCACGGCGGTCGGCACCAGCACGAAGGTCGTCTCCACGAAGGTCGGCGCCCGCACCTCCACGAGTGTCGTCTTCACGAGGATCGTCTCCACAACGGTCGGCGCCAGCACGGAGGTCGTGTCCACGACGGTCAGCTCCAGCACCGCCACAAAGATCTTCTCCACGGCGGTCGGCACCAGCATCTCCAGGACGGTCGTCTCCACGAAGATCGTCTCCACGACGGCCGGCACCAGTACGAAGGTCTTCTCCATGAAAGTCGGCTCTAGCACCTCCGCGACCGTCAGCTCCTTCACCTCCGTCGGCGCCCGCACGAAAGTCGTACCTACGACGGTCGGCTCCGGCACCTTCAGGTAGACCGCCTCCGGAACGTGCATCAGGTTCTGCATCTTGAACTCCACCTCCAGGAAGGTCGGCATCAGCGTCGCCACGAACGTGAGCAGGTGGAGCACGCCGCATCGATATCGAGACCTGGGATTCTCCAGATGACGAGCAGTGCCCGTGGTCCACAACAATGGCGTCCTGAAGCGAGGCGAACATGGACTGGATGAGCACGGTCGCAAAACTATTGAGCATGCCCACGTCTCAGTACGGCAGGAGAGAACGAAGTGGAATATGACCCTATCACGATGCGAATTGACTCGAACTCGACACTGGCGCCCTTGAGCGAATTGATCCGCGATCCATCGCAGCCTCGCAACACTGACCATCCGAGCGAAAAAAACAACTCAGGCGGAAACGGCGGGGGGCGCACGGGCGCCCGATGGCCCTCGACCAGTGCGTGCTGGAGCCAACGTGGCTATGATGATGATGATGATGATGATGCTGATGATGATGATGATGATGATGATGATGATGATGATGATGATGATGATGATGATGATGATCATGATGATGGTGATAATGATGATCCTTGGCGCTCGCGTAACTAGATCCTCGCACAAAACTGTCCCTGGTGTCCTCGAGTCTCGCGCTTCGCGGTGGCCTTCCCGACATCGTTTCACGAGCAGTGCGGCCAGACAGCGCCCGCCACGGAGCTTCTGCCAGAAGCTCTCTCGGCGGGCGCGCCGCCCCCCGACAGCCACGAGGCACAGCCCGGGCCCAAGGTCAGTCGGCATCGCAACGGGAAATCGGACTGCATCGACGTGCACGTCGAATCGGGCTGCAGCGGCACGGGATCGATGCCGAACCGGATCGGCCGCGCCGGGCTGCACAGCAGCGCCAGGCAAACATCGGGCCGCATCGGATCGTCGGAATCAAATCGGATCGGGCAAGCCAAAATCGGTATCGAATCGGATCGATTGGATCGAAATGGACCCAGCAACCCCACCCCCTTCGATGGTGCAACAAAAAGCTGAGGGCCTTTTACCGTTTTCGAGATGGGCGCCCTGATAACCCTGTTAGGGGGTCAGTTTTGTGTTCTGTTTTGGGAGTCTCGTCTCGCAGTATGGTATGTGCGGGCTGCCGCGTTTGATTTCTGTTTGTGTCGGGCTGCCTTGTTTGTTCGCTGTGGTTGCGAGGAGGGGATTTAACCATATCCACCGCCTGGGAACCGACGTCCTGGTGCCCCAGCGGGCGGTGGATATGGATATATGTCGGCCCCCGGGGGCCCGAACATGTGCATATCCACCGCCTGCCGAGGCTCCCGAAAACTGACTCTCCAGGCGGTGGTCATGTATAGATTCCCGCCTCGGAGTGGTTGGCCGGGGACCGACAACCGTCAAACTTTGGCAAATGCAGCGTTTTTGACATCAACTAGGCCCACCCTAAGGCCACTTGGGGGTACACGTCGGCGAGAAGACGTAGGTACAAACATGAAGTAGGAGGGCGGATCACGTTGATTGGGTCCAGGCCCCCCCAGAGAATAACAAAACACAGCAAAAGCGTGTCGATTCTTTCATAAAACAGAGCTAAGATCGGGATAAATCGCTCCAGAGCGTTCCGGAGCGCTCTCAGAGCGTTCCGGAACGCGCTGGAGCGGCCGCGGCGCCCAATACATCCTCCAAACCCGCCGATTCTCAGAGATTTCGAGTTATCCCGATCCGATTTTGTCCCGATCTTCGCGTCGTTTTAGATTGGGATCTGGTGATCCAAAAAATACCTACGTTCAACGAGCGGCGTGTAAGCCTTCCGCGGGCCTCTTGCCGGCGAGCAGGTTCCGGATCCGACGTGCGCGCGGCTCGCCCCGCCACGCCCAGAAGGCCCCTCCTTTGGAAGCTTGGAAATTGGCACCAACACCAACATCAGGGGTTGGGTTGCCTCCACGGGAGGAAGACGATCCTGGCTTTTGGTGTTGGTGGTAATCTTCCGGCCACCTAGAAAGCCCGAATAGTACCACCATCACCTGGATCGGGATCATCTTCCCTCGGTGGAATCACGCCGCCGATATTGGTTTTGGCGTCAACCTCTAGGCCTCCGACTCCTGGCAACCGGCGCGGCCGCGGACTCGGGGCGGTGTCCTCCCCCCTGCCTCCAGTGCAAGACGGCCCGCCCTCACCGCTCCGCGACGCCACCTGGGGGCCGCGCCTCCAGCGAAGGGAGGAGCAAAAAACACACCCCGCCCCCCCGAGTTCGCGGCGTGTTCTGCCACAGCCCTGGGCGTCTCCTGAACGGCCCTGGGCGTGGACGAAACGGCCCCGTCCTGTTCGATTCCTTCCTTCGGTGCGTCTGCTAAGAACGGCTCCGCTTTGCCGGGGTGCTCATGATGAGGGTGGCGCCCCTGCTCTCTATCCAGGGGCTCGAGCGGGAGGCGCGGCTTTCCCTCGCTGCGCGCTCCTGCCGCCCGTCATCGCCAGGGCCACTACCTGGTTCAGCTCCCCGAGGGATCGGCCGCGGAGGCATGGCAGGCCCAAGCCGGCCAGCGCCTCTCGAGGCCTCCCGGATGGGGTCCGCGCAGATGGGGTCGGAGGATCGCGCCACATTCGGGTCGGGCGAAAGGGGGGGATAGCAAAGGGGGGGTTTGAGAATCAGCCCACGCAGCTGATTTTTCCGGCGCCTCCCGGCGCCGGAGGCGACGGCGCATCGAGGAATGGGCCCCTCGGTGGGGCCGAAACCAGCTGCATGCAGCACATTTCGTACCCCCCCCTTTCCCCATCCCCCCCTTTCGTCCGGCCCGACACATGGCCCACCGTCGGTGCATCGGCGACGCCAGCGCGGAGAACCTCGGGGTCCGCATCGCGCCGCATCGCCGGCGCATCGGCGACAGGGCCGCGATCCTCCGACCCGATCCAGTCGAGCCGGACCCCACTTGGGAGGCCCAAGGCCTGCGCGCAGGAGTAGCGGCTGGCCGGGAGGGCCGCGTGGCACCCGGCCCCGCCGTCCGCAAAGTGCGCCGCCAGCTCGTCCCACAGCTCCTGCAGGCGTGGGCAGACAAGACAGCCAGGCAGACGAACGCCATGGGGCAAGCGTGCCCTGAGATCCTGGCGCCGCAACTGCTGCTCGCACCGGGCGTCTTCGCCCTGTGCTCGGGCCCCGGGGCCCTCACGGATCGATCCGGTTCCAAAAACCCAGCAGAACGACTCGGTCTAAAGGGCTATGACCGTGGGTTCTGGGGCTCTTCTGGTCGTGATGTCTGGCGATGGTTCAATTCGATCGCGACGTCCGACCTCAGGGTGCATGTTGACACACGAGCGGGCGGCGGAGGCGGAGGCGGAGGCGGAGGAGGAGGAGGCGGAGGCGAAGGCGGAGGCGGAGGCGGAGGCGGAGGAGGAGGAGGCGGAGGAGGAGGAGGAGGAGGCGGAGGAGGAGGCGGAGGCAGAGGCGGAGGCGGAGGCGGAGGCGGAGGCGGAGGAGGCGTTGGGCGGCCGGGGCGGACGAGGTCGTGGCCTCTCGGATGACGTGTGCCTCCGCCGGCGCCCCGCCGCTCCTCTCGGGTCTCGGGGGCGGGCGGGCACGACCCTCGGGCGCGGGGGAGACGGGCTGGGACGAGCGGCTTCGCGGCCCCTCCGTCCTCCGGCCCCCCGCAGATCCGACGGCGCGGTGAAACTGCAGCAGGATTGTTTGTTCCGACGAGGCCTCCCTGCGCTGCTCTCGCAGAGAGAGAGAGAGAGAGAGAAGGAGAGAGAGAGAGAAAGAGAGAGAGAGAGAGCTGGGTACCAGCTCGTGCCGGGTCCTGGCCACGAGGCCAGGCGAGAAGCCCCCGCCGTGTCTGCGCTCGCGGCGCCCAGGCGCCAGGACCCCTCCCGCTCCCGAGATGCGCGCCGCGGGACGGGCGAATCACCATGCGGGGGGATCGGCGACGAGCCGCGGAGCGCGAAGAACTCGGCGCGCCGCGCCGCGCCGAGTTCTTCGCGCGTCCCGCTTCGCGCTGCGCGCCGCGCCGCGCGCCGCGCGAATCACTGCGCGGAGGCATCGGCGCCGAGCCGCGGAGCGCGAAGAACTCGGCGCCCCCGCGGGCGCCGCGCCCCTGACTGCAGGAGCACGGCCGCGCGGAGCTCCGCGGCGCGCACGGCCCCCGGCCCTGCGCCCCACAGCCGCCGGGCCCTCCCTTCCCCCCCGCCGGGCGCGCGGACACACCGCGCGCCGGGGGGCGCCCGGCGCCGCTCCGAGGAACTCCGCGCGGAGCGCTCAAGCATCCGCGCGCGCTCGCATGCACGCAGGACGGGGCCAGGACGAGGACGACATCGCGCGAGGATATGACATATCGAGAATCGAGGAGATCCGGCGGCTCCGAAGGGACGTCTCGGGCCGTGTCTGGCCTGCCCCACTAAGGGTCGGAAACTTAAAATCACAGTCAACAGTCTTACGCGAAGGTCCAGAACAGTGATTTTTAGAAATTACACATAAGGCACAAACCTGATAAAAAAACAGACTCCTTCTCAAACTGAGCGTCTATGCCTTCTTGTACCTGGGACATAGTGTGCGCTGTTCGCGTCTGCTACAAGCCTCATCCTCCTCAACAACTCCACGCCTTCCTCCCCATTTACCTTCGGCAAACCTACCATTCAATGTTCCCACCGTCCTCGTTGCTAACGCCTCCTCGCTCCTCCTCCTCTTCCTGCCTCCAACCTCTCAGGAGTAGAATTGAGCCTTCGGCAGCATAGGGTTCTTTGTTTTGCTCTGCGGAGGGACGGGTTGAGTAGGGAAGGCACTGGTCACGCAGGGTATACGAAAGGAGCGCGCGCACGTTTGCCATGCCTTTGCATTCGCAGCCTTGCTCTCTCGAGCGGCCTCATTTTTTGTGTTGACACGCCCTCGGTCGTACACGTGTTCATTCTCCTAAGGGTTGAACGAATGTCATGGGTGTCGGTTGTGGAGGAGAGGCCACATCGGAAGAAGAGCCGACGTGGCGTTGTTCAGTCAAGCTTTCAGGTTCCACGGATCCCCGTGAACACGTTGGCCCTGGCACGTTCTCCGAAATCTTCCTTTCGCCCTGATGGCATGTGGCCTCTGACGCACTGGTACAGTGATTTTGTTCGGGAACGTTTGTCTGCCATTCGTCGTGGCTTGACTGTACATGCAGACCCTTCAGTGTCCAATCTGGCGAGACGATGCTTCATCGAGTCTGGCGCGCGCGTCATCAGCAAGACGGCCTCCATGGAGCTTACGGGCTTGAAGAGAAAGGAGATTGGCCCTGTCCTGAAGTCCGCTGCGCTTACAGGACGTCGCTTTCACTTTGATCACATGTTGCCTGCGTTGGTTTTTCTTGGATGGAAGGTTGAGGGAACCAGCGGGAGGGAGAGGAGAGGATAGGGAGGGACATGTAAGGTATGAAACATGGCACGAGGGCGGGGGACACTATGACGGAGGCACGGCGGAGGACTTGGCCAGAAGGATCGCACGATGACGATGACACGAGGATGAGGAAACAGGAGGCATCAGAACTAACCAGGAGGTTCGGTTGGCAACGATTATGTGTGCATTGCTGGCGGAAACAAGGGAAGCTCAGGACTATATTTCGATCGCGTATTTCGGCATTGTCTTGAACAATCTATTTTGGCAGCGTTCCCCATGGATTCCCTTGTTGAGTACAGCGATCGTTGCCGTCAAGACGAAACGCCACTTCCCGTCACCAGGAAACTTGGAGGCCTTAGCAGTGCAGATGACATTGGAGGTATTGCAGAGCCGAGTGACCACGCCGTCGCTTGTATGTACCACCAGCCTTTGCCATTCGATGTTGCGTCAAGGCCAGCTCGAACATCTGTGAAAATTGTCCAGTCTGTTTCGGAGTATGGCATGCTTATTTGCACCGACGGGGCTTCGAAGTTCCTTGTCGTGACGGGTAGCATGTTGAACTTGCCGCAACTAGTCGAACGCACTACGGCAGAGTGTCTACTTGAGGCTGAGCTTCGGCGACGGTTTGTAGGAGACGCTCCATCTCATTTCAAAAGCAGGTCCAGGGATTGGTGCCATGATTCTGCGAGTGCGAACTTTCGTTTCGAGAGGGGTCTCGTGGCGACATTAGAGCGAGCTGGATTTGGCAACTGGGTATCTGACGGCATGCATTGTCATCCTCATAGGTCATACGGTGCATTCAAGAAAAGTTACCAGCTCGTCGAGTCGATCATCTCCGCCCAAATCAATTTCGCATTGTGCATCAATAACAACCAGAGCTTGAAGGTGTGGCAGAAGATAATCATCGAAACAGTGACGGAACTAATAAGGCCGCGCTTTGGTTCCCCGCCACAACATGTGACAGCGTTCAAGCGGCAGGTCATGTCTCTTTGCTTGCGTGGTGCTGGGAATCAACTGGTACGCACATTGTACGCATATGCCTTGCCGAACGGTGATTGGACAGACCACTCTGGTATAGATATCTGGCTCACCCCAGGTACGCGAGTTGATGTCAGAGCGCTGGGGAGATTTATCGGCACAGCGATTGTGAACGTGTTTGCGCCTACGCTGTACAGCCTGTACGGGAGAAATAAGTTGAAGAATGTCAACGCGGCGATTGGCGAGCTGGCAGCAATGGAAGCGTGTCATGGTCTTGTTTCGCATTGCTTTCCAAAGTTTGCCAGGAAATACAAGGTCAGGAGAGATCAAGCAGGTGCCATCCCAGCTGCCCACGTGCCCCCGCCGCCACCAGGACCTGCTGTACACGGACTTGTTCATGCACCTCCAGCTCTCCTTGATGCCCCTGGGGCCGGAGCGGAGGCAGACGAGGGCGACCACGACGATGAAGGCCCGAGGCGCGAGCAGCCAGCTGCAAGGGCTGAGGGTGCAGAGACGGAGGATGTGAACGTGCGGGGTCCGACCAAAGAGGAGCACAGCAAGAGCATTTCAAAGGTTCTAAAGTTTCTGAGTGCCGATTGCGGTTGGGGCTACGATGTACTCATATTTCGTCAGGTCTTGGAAGCGAGCGGTAAACTCATGACTAAGCAGATCGAGAGGTCAACTATCGACTATCAGTACCACCAACGCCTTGGGATTATCAAATCGAAGGCCAGGGGTGACCATGCAGATGTGACGTTGCAGAGCTACGCGGTGGAGTCAGCTACATCATCACTGGAGAATGCATTGTTTGTCGACTTGGGTTTACTTCGCGATTCAGATGCCCTGTGGAAGGATATCATACCAGACGGCTTTAAGAGTAGGAAGCGCTGCGCACTGTCGTTCAAGCTTATCGTTTCTGTGGAGTGCTGGGTTGAATCAATGATTGTGGACTCCCACCTTGCTTACCCTACGAAGAGGTATCTTGCGCTTGTGTCCGATGCAGGAGCCGCAGAGGTCGTGAATGACAGAGCTTGCCTTTTCGACGAATGGACTCGGTCACTGGTGGAGGAATGGAAGGGCCACCCGCTACAGCTTCGGGCGCCCATTCCACAGGCGAAGTTGCGATTCAAGGCGAGAA